CGTCGGTCGCTGATATATTGGTACAGCTGAGTTGAAAACAATGTTTTATTTAACTTTTTACTGTCCTATGGAATGGTATACATTCCATAACATTCTAAACAATATTGTCACGGTGTTGAATGCGATCAAGTTTTGCCATGGAAATTTTCATGCAATTTCCAACACCTGAATTTTAGCTCTGAAAAATTCTGGAGAAACATAAAAAATGAGTAAAGCCATTGTGATTAACTATTTTTTCTTCTTTTCAGAGCCACCGACTTTGGTAATGGCCCAGGAGGAATTCAAGATCGAATCACCCCTTTACGAGGAATACCAACATGATGAATTTGTGAGGGAACTCAACGTGGGTGACATTATTTGTAGTTACATCAAAAACTCCAAGAAACTGTATCACGTAGGCATATATTGCGGGTCATGGAATGATGCCCATCCGGTTCTGAAGGAATTCTTGAAGAAGGGCGCAAACCTAAGCTGCCCGGAATGCTCTCAAGATTTTATTGCGAAAGACTGCGGCCACAACGTCCACATCGTGGCGGAACAAACAATGATGGATGACGGAGTCTCGGGCAGAAGCAGGAAGAGAAAACAGACTCGACCGAGATTTGGCCTCTCCGTGCTCAAAGATTTCATGGAAGGCGATGGAGCCTTCAAGCTCAACATCCTAGACAAGGGGAAAATGAAGTCTGCAAAAACAGGTGGAGAGGGGACAAACCCATTGCTCATTGAAGAAATTTTAGGGAGAGCCCTCAATGCAGCTACCGATCCGAGTTACCGCACGAAGCATCACCTACACTCCTTCAACTGTGAGCAATTTGCTTGCTGGTGCCGATATGGGGGAAAGACGAGTGTACAGGTCATTAACTTCGCAAAAGCCAAAGCAGGTACTGATTCTGGAGCTACTGCTATTGGTACCATCACTGCCACCCTTGCCCGTGGTGATGGAGGAAGAGTTCCAACAGAGAAAAAACTAAAAACCGAATGATAATTGAAATGGAAACGAAGAGAAGAAAGGGGGACGCAGAGGAGAAGAGACGATGGCTAAGATCTCGCATGGAATTTTGAATTTGAGATAACAGTTTCGCAATAAATCGCGTTTGAAGAGTGACTTAATGGTTTTGATGCATCCAAGAATCAAAATGTGGAAATCCTTGTCGGTTACATTCGTGAACTTTCAGCATCAGCGGTGGGAGAATTCTATATTGAATCAATGCATTCGAATCGCATTTGAATCACAGAATATTTCACATTAAATACCTTCTTTGGAAATTTGCTAACATGCCTCTAGGCTTAGCCCTATGCCTTTCTTATGCAAAATGTGGCCGATATATTTTCCTTCGCTGTTAATTAATGTTCGGGCTAAATTAAATAACGGGTCGTCGGAAAACGAGGCCATGAACGCAGGTTAAGTGATTGATTTGCCAGAATTCTTCCAAGGCTGTTCCCGAAGCACACTACAAGGTTAATGGCATGCAATTGTCATGCTCGCAAATTTGTAAAACCGGATCTGCTTATTAATGAGACGTTCACTCTAAAGCGGAAAGAGATGAGAGAAAACCTGGAACCAGGACAAAACCATGAACGACGGCCTGATTTGACAGTTGGAGAATCCAACGTGAAGTTGAAGGAACTCGTGAAATATATCAGTGAGTGGCACATTTTAGGCGTTCGCTTCTCTGCAATTCGTGGGAATGAGTTTCAAAAGCTAGCGATTCTCAGGGAAGAAGATTTTTCAATACTCATGGACCATCGATGGGAAATGCTCCACAGATATTCCAAAAGGCTTTGAAAATGAAACCAAAGAAATGTGAACCAAGATAATACTATATGCATAGTATATACGACGTATACTATATATACACGATAATAATACGAAATGGAGACATGATGGTCGAACTTTCCAAGTCGGGAAAGAGACCGTCGGCAAAAACTGGATAGTTCCATGAAATCAATGTCGATACTTGAAGTATTCCCTTATTATTAACTATTCCCTCATGAATGTGGAGATTTTTTGCGAGTGCGAGAGGTGTTAAGTACCTTTTGACGCATGCTTACAAAGGCCATAATAGAACAAATTTCGAAATCCGAGAAAGAGTCGCTGGGGTTGGCACACTGAATCGGGACGAAGTAAAAAAATTTTTTTTCCTGAATTCCGAATGCAGACGCATTGCGAATCCAGTAAATTTATTATTCTGGAGGCTATGGTGCATGCAGAACGTCTAATGACAATTACGCACATTGCTACGACCCTACAGATTAGTGCTGGTAGTGTGGAATCTATATAGAAGAAGAACCTGCAGATGAAGTTAGTGTCTGTAAGATGGGTGCCCAGAATGTTGAACCCAGAACAGAAGCTTCTTCAGGGCTACCAGGCAAATTCAGGCGACTTTCTCTTCAGGATCGTAACCCATGATGAATCATTGGTTCACCACTTCGATCCCGAAACTAAACATCAAAGTCTTCAGCAGAAAAACCAAGATTCACTACCCATTGAAAATTCAAGGTCATCACCTCAGTAGGCAAGGTCATCTAGGATGCAAAGGGAAATTTGCTAAATGACTACCTGGAACATGGAACGATCAAAACGGGTGACTATCACGCCAAACTGCTTTCGAAGCTGAGAGAAGCAATCAAGAAGCGTCAAGGGAAACTTCGCCGGGGTGTGCCAGTTCTCTAGGACAATCCATCAGGTCGTGCCTCTCTGGGTTGCAAACGCTGCTTTCCGCCAATGTTGCTTACAGTTGCTTCTGCACCCTCCTTATTCGCTTCATCGGCCTCCCTTTCATTTTTACCTCTTCCCTCTTTCGAAAGAAAATTTGTATGGAAATACGTTCAGTAGGAATGATGAGGTCATGATGGTCATTGACAGTTGGTTTGATGACTTAATGATAATAATATTTTAATTTCACTCCTAAAGCCGTAATCACGCAAGCAAAAATGCATTGCTGTTCCAAGAGATCATGTCGAAAAACGAAGCGACATTCGCGTTCTTAACACTTCATCTTTCCCCCTCAAGCCGGAAACCTTTTGAACTTGTGTCTCGTCTCTTTCACTCGCTTCTATTGATCCCATCGCATCTCGAGTCTTGGTGAGACGAAATGCACTTTATTCCTAGTTGGACACGTCTCAGTTGCAAACGATGAGGGACTAGGTGTGGTTAAGGTTCTGGACGATACCAACAAATTGAGAAGCTTCCTACATTAGCACCTCATTATAATGCATTAATTTAAATACTTCGGCATTCTTTTCTCATATCATATAAAGGAAAAAATGAAACAAGCAAGATTGCCAGAAATCATGTGATTTAGCCTGCCCCAGCCGAGTGCAGCTGTGGAGGAATATTTAACTAAAGGAAATGTACTCACATATTGATATGGGAATGAAAAAATTTCCAAGCGTAGAATTTATTGAGCTTTCCTGTTCCCCCGTGGCATGGACGATTTTGTAAAGCCCCTGGAAGAGTTTCGCTTCCTATTTAACCCTGAGCACGAGCCAAGGGAGAGTGTGAAAATTCAACGTTGTACCGAGGAACTTTTAAAAGACGTCATCACGGAATGATTTCACATCATGATTTTTCAATCGCCAATCGGTAAATGGGCTTAGCATATGATTAAACATCACATATGATTAAATGCAACGAATCGCAGTGGTCATGTAATTAAACTTGCCGTGCGACTGGCAACTGCAGATGTAGAGAGTAGAACAAATAGAATAAGTTCAGTTGCAGTATTACGAAGTATTGAACATCACGTGATATCTGCACCCTCTAACGACTTTCTCGTCAACTCTCGTCTTTTCATTTTTCACGAAATCTATTCGGTGACGTGATCTAGTCCTAGGAGTGGAAGTGATGGAGTCGGCGGATCGTCCCCGAGGTTCCTCGCGCTCTCGCCTCATCGGTTCTTCCGCCGATCGGCGTCGTGGAAACCGTTTTCCTCGGTCGTCTCTGTGTGCCAGGCTCGATGCCCCTGCACATTCGATGACAGCACGAGATCGCAGGGGGAGAGGATGCATTCCACGTTTTCGTTGGGAACGCGTTGCATAGGGCAGTCGGGCCGAGGAAAATGCCATCTCGTGCACTTCCACACGGACCGGTTATGAAGGGAGGCAAAACCCAGGCGGAAGCAAGACGAGTTTCGCTCCAGCAACGCGTTCGTTTGTCCCTCAACACAGATTCCATTGCTGGAGCAGCGCGGTCTCATCAACATGTTTCATCGATTCATCGATGTGTTCTGCAGATTCCGCGAAAAATGGAAATATCGCTCTCGAGAGTCTCAGTAGTCCTCGACGTTCCTCAAAATTTCTAAAGAATCGCGTCCGGATTTTCCACGGCCGCTATTCGATAGAGTGATCCGAACCGACCAACTCGGAGCAGTCGGTCGGATCGTCTCTCATTCCAAAACTGAACCTCGAGAGAAAATGATGCTACTCCTGAAACGATACAGGTACCCTTGAAATTACGATCCGGAATCGGTCCCTGGACCGACGCTGTCAAATCCAATCGAGGACCTTGAAGAACGTGAGCAAAAATGTATGTAGTTTGCCACGAAAAAAATTCCAATGGCATTTCCCCCCTATTCTGATCTCATGTGAATATTCCTAAATACGGATGGGAAGACATGTAGACAACTAAATTAAAGTTATCCCAACAGGAAGGCAAACAAATATTCATTAGAAACCATTGAGATGAATTGAAGTATGTACAGTTCGAGGTTTCATCTCAGTAAATAGTTGCAATTTATCATGACATATTTCCTTATAACCAGGGCCTGATTTGGAAATTCCTGGCAGCGACGTGGCTTTCCCATCATGAGTTTAACTCGGACGGTACGTGAATTTGACAGAATAGTTATTTATTTGACATACCGGTATTTTCATGGCATGGTTACGATAGTGTGCTGGAATGTTTAAGGCTTCTCGTGATGATTACCGACGCCGACCGCTACCCGGTTTAAAATGAACATTACGAGGAAAAGGCAGGGGACGATACGGAGAGGATTCGCTCAGTCGAAGATTCGTTGCCCGTCTTCGTCGAACTTGTGAGCCAGGGTGCGTTCGCAGTTGTCGCGGGAGTTGACCAGGTTCGGGTAGAGCAAGGTGAGTTCCGGCGACCCGTAGACGATCCGATCCACGCATTCCACGCCCAGCATGAAGGAATGGTCCTGGTTGCCGGCCTCGCACTTCCACGATCCGAACCGCCCGCGGGACCAGACGCCGAGTGCCTGCAGCTTGGGCAGGAGCTCCTTGAGGATGCCGTCGCGGGAGAGCGTGGGCGTCGGGTAGCCGCGGTGGAATCGACGGTGGAAGGTCGAGACGATCTCGTCCTCCGGGGCCAGCAGCGACGCATCCACCGCGCCTCGGATCGAATCGGCGACGACGGTCTCGACGTCCACCGGCCTGTGCGACGACTCCGAGACTTCGAACAGGAGCGACCAGTAAGGGCCTCCCTTCTCCGTCTCGGCGTCCGTCTCCTCCCCGTCCGCGCGTCGGATCGTCCTCAGCTTGACGTCGGCGCCCGGCTGGTTGTGGGGCGAGAGGTCGGAGAAGACGGTGGCGTGGCAGAAGGGCGTGTCGTCTTCGGGGAAGTACAGCCAACTGTTCTCGTCGATGTGGTCGGGGCGCTTGCCCCGGATCCCGATGCCGACGACGTGCGTGGAAGAGAAGTGGAGACCCTTGCTCAACTCGATCAAATCCTCGTCGCCGATGGTGACGGCCAGGTCGTCGACCGGCAACGTGGATATCAACTTCTCGTAGGCAATCGTCGACCCGTCCTTCAGCGTCAACACCTTCTCCTTGGCGTCGATCTTCTCCACTTTCGCATCGAATCGGATTTTCCCCTGCGGGAATATCTTGGTCACGGCCTTCCAGATTCCGCCGATGCCGTCTCGGGCGGGGAAACGGAATTTCCCGTAACGACCCAGATCCACGGCGATATTTTTCTCCAATACGTTGGTGACGGCCAGCTTAAGGTCGGGGCCAGCAGCACGGTCACCGATCCATTCCCTGCGAGGATCGAAATAAATTAAAATCACGGTCGAATGAATGATCGGGAGCATTAATAGAGGTGAAACGCAAAGAAAAATCCAGTGAAGAAATGTATTACGCGTACCATTGCATCATAGTGGTAGGGACGGCCCAAAACTTGAAGTTGTAGGGACGCATAAAGTAATTAGCGATACCCTCACCTAGGCGAAATTAGAGAAATTACAAGGATAAGGTTGCAAGTACCTTGGATTCGATTTTATTTTAGCATCTCTGAGGAACAGCGCCCAATGCAAGTAGCAAAAAAAAGGCTAACATGGAAAAATAGAGACCCCTTCTCACCCGTCATGCGGAGAATCCACTCGTCGAAATTGTTCGGCTTGGACTGGGCCAGCGCCGACTCGAGGTAGGCGTCGATCATCCCCCTGAGGCAGACCACCTGGTCTTCGATGGGGAGGGCGGCGAGGTTGTTCTCGTAGGGGCATGGGACCAGTGCCTGGCGGGAGTGCACGTACGACGCGCGCTGGTGCGTGTACCAGTCCTCGGGATTCGGCAGGGCTTCGTCGAGCACTTCGTCGAAGTACTTGTAGTGCGAGAAGAGGGCGTGCGTGCCGGCGTCGAACAAGAATCCCTCGGGGGTGACGTCGGTCGTCCCGACGCCACCTAGGCGAGCGGAGATATGGAACAGAGGTCATTGCGTTGTATGGGTTGGGGTGGTGCGCACAAACTCGTTATTGTACGGAAGACAGATCAGAAACATCGCGTTCTAACGGACGAACACAGAACACTACCGCTCAACATGGCAGCGGCATTTGATACATGAAGCAACGTGAAAACAGGCAAGAAATCGGGTGAGTAAACGTAAGGAATTTCCAAGCGAAGAAGAACCCCAGAACCCAGGCATCGGAGCCTAGACGCACCGCGGCAGGAGGAGCGAATGAGGCCCGAACAAGGATTCCAGGATTCGAGGCCGTCCGTCGACCGACTCTACTTCTCGGACGTGTTCACCGACTCGGGCCGACACCATCTCCCATAAGCACCTGGCAATCCCTTGGGGATGACCCAGACACCTCCGAACGGGACCACAGACACGAACGGGACCGACATGCGACGAGGACACGAACGCGTGGATGCCACGGAAGGAGCATCCACCGCAGAGCACTCACGCCCCTCCCTCACGCCCCTCCCTCACGCCCCTCCCCCACGCCCCTCCCTCACGCCCAACGTACCCGCCTCGGGGGAGGCATCGACGACGAGCCACGACGCCTTGTTGAACTGCAGGAGGCGCCTGGCCGCCCCTAACCCCGTCGGCCCGGCCCCGACGATCACGATCTCCACTTGCTCCTGAGTGGGCATCCTGACGTGGACGGTGACTGCTGACGTGGACGGTGTGTTCGTGTTGGAGAAGGTACTCACTTCCTATATGACGTTCGAATAGCCAAATCCATAGAGAAATATTGAGAATTGCTTTTCTGTCGAGTCGAGGTTATATCGACGGTTCTGGAAAATATGATAATGAATCTCCAAAAATGTATAGCATTGCCCTTGTTATCTTAAAATATTCCCAATATTGGCTACTTTTATGACTACTGGGTAATTGAGTAACTTTATCACAGATAACTTTTTCGCATCTCCACTCTCTTAAGAATGTAAGAATGATTCCATATTTTTGGCATTTACTCCCGCAAACAAATGAAACTTCGAAGCCACCGACAGGTCGTAAAATCCTTTCTGCGATTCAGCACAATCTTAACGAGACGAAGAGAGCCGGTAGGGAACCGTCGTTCCCCGATGAAGCGGCCGCGATTCCGGCGCTGCAGGAGATCGCGCTGAGTCAAGCGCGGGGGGGGGGGGGGGGGGGGGGG